AATATTTTTTCATCCACACCAAAGATGACTCATGTATTTGTTGAATTTTATTTCGAGAAGCATTTGAATGAAAAATATTAGTCTAGGTAAGATTAAAATAATTATGAAGCATCATGCAATATTTCTAATTGGAAATATCATTTATTTTTTTAAACAAATTTTAAGTCAAAAATTGCAAAATTATGCATTCATGCACAAATAGTAGAAAATTGAAAACCAAGAATGATGGATATCATCAACGAAAAATTTGATTTTCTGTTTTTTTTTTCAATATTAATATCTCATAAAATGTATACTTCCAATATAATGGGAATTTTTTCAGTTTTTTTTGGCTCCACTTTTTCAATTAAAAAATGCAATTAAATTTTTTCCTAAATTTCAAATCATTTGAAAATTCCAGATGAAATGAGTGTATTAGTTTTTTTTGTGTATATTGCTAGTTTCGCTACACATGCAGAGCAAACTGAGCAAAAATTATTAAATCTCTAGAGGAATTTTTTCCATTTCAAAGTTTACGAGTTTATTTTAAGAAAAAATCTGATAACAAGAATTGTTAAATTCCTACTCAACTTCAAGAGTTTCATTTCTCTTGTTTTCCAGGAGTGAATATGCTATGATATTTTAGATTATATGAGAAAGTGAAAAAGGAAATGAAAGGACAGGTGAGTTTCAATATTTTTATCATGCAATTATCATTTCTGATATTTATGGATGCAAAGTATGATTCGGTCCTTTATTTAAGTAAATAAAATGATAATGAATAGCAAAAACTCAACCGGCAAATAAAAAAACTAATTGAACAAAAAAAGAGAAGTATCGAGAAAGTACAAATGATATTTGTGCTTAGTTTGTTTACTTTATTTTTGCATTTCAATTTTTTCTTTCTTTCATTTCGCTCTTTTTTCTCAGGGAAATTTTTTTTTAGAAAGAAATTTTATTTTTGCAGATTTTTGCCCAGAAAGAATGAAAAATTATAGATATAAAATGTTTGAGAAAGAGTTGATAGATATTGTTGAAATTAATACCAAGTATTTAAATTTTGTTAATTGAATAAGTATATGAGTACCATAAATTTTTGTAGTGTAAATGAAAAAATTTACGAATTCATGGGTTAAATTAAATGATACTCCCAATTAGAAATATTGCATGATGCTTCATAATCATTTTAATCTTACCAGACTAATATTTTTCATTCAAATGCTTCTCGAAATAAAATTCAACAAATACATGAGTCATCTTTGGTGTGGATGAAAAAATATTTAAAACAAAAAGGTGTTTTCGTCTAACTATGCTTGAACAGAATGAATTTTGTATGAAACAAAGAGAACAACTTCTATTATAATCGATTCATTACAAAAATTTTCAGACAATTGAGTAAATATATGCATGAATCAATTATATAAGTATATATAACAAAAAATTAAACACTAATCATCACAATATTTTACTGACTTTTTTTATTCACCTAAACATATTAATCAATAAATAATGAAATATTATTTTATTATTCAACGATCAATAATTTCTGTCAAAATATTTGGCTAATTTTGTTAATTGAATTATCGTTACTGTTTAAAGAGAAATAAGAAAGAGGAATTGGGCTGATTTGCATTCCAACGTTAATTACTATTACAACAACTGCACAGTGATGGACATTACGATGACCTCATATCAAAATCTTTGTACTATCCATTCATCCACTCATTAATCATTTAAAATTGAGAATTCGACTACCAAAAGAATTTTAGAAAAGAAGAAGATAACTTTAGCTAAGAATAGACAATTGTTGATGTTAGATTGTGAAATCATTGAACATACACATTTAAAAATTCAACGAATAAAATACAGGAAAGGAGAAATTAGGACAAAAATAGAAATAACTGAAAAAAGGCAAAGTATTATTGTAACAGCCTTAAATTATTGCATATTAAAAAAAAAACTTAAGTAAATATATAATTTGTTTCTTTGAGAGAAAGAAGTTCTAACCGCAGAGATAGAAAATTTTGTTTTTTTTTTAAAAATAATTTTAAGTACGCTGTCTTTTTATCCACAGGGTGCCATTTTATTCAGACATATTTGCTACTTCTGTAAAAATTATTCTGAGATCAGAATTGAACTTCTCGAGGTAAGTTTAAGAGTTAAGAAGATAAAATTGCTCGATTATCAGTTATCAGTTGTTTCTCTTAAACAGATAAATTGAAAAATTAGGGAAAGAAATAAAAAAGAAAAATAAACCTTGCATTTGGCACTCAGAAGAGAAATGGACGATGCAATGACACGAAGTGTCTCATCCGACGACAGAACAGCCAATCGGCCGACCTGAAGAATTTCGTGTTAATTCAATTGCAATCGATATATTTAATTATCAAATTTTCTTTGATCATCAAATTAGATATTTTCCACTTTTCTAACTTTTGCACCATTCTTTCCTCCTTTTTTGATTTTTGGTTTTGAGCAAAAATCAAAAAAAAATTTTAATATGATTGAATACTTTCAATAAAACATACGTGATATTCTATTCAGTAATCAAAGTGTATTATTTTAAGCATGAAAAAAGAATTTCCACTGAAAAGTGTATTATTTAAGCATGAAAAAGAACTTCTATCTTTACTGTTAAAGATTAGAAGGAACAAAAAATTGAACAAAATTTTTAAGTTTTTCGTTGTTTTTTTTAAATTTTGATTAAAAATTTCCTTTCTGATTAAAAATTTCCGTAGTTCTATAAATGTATGTCTAACCTATACTGAGTGAGTCAGAAATTTCAATTAAAGACTACCGTTGAATTAAGAAGAACTCGAAAACAAAGCAATATTGTAGCCGCATGTTGTTCCAATCCGAATCGCTTCCGACATTCACTCAGCAAATTTCTTAAATGTCTACTGCCGTCTAATTTTATGAAATTTTCCACGTAACTGTAATGATTTGATGAAATTAAAAAACTGAAAAAACAAAATTTGAAGTTTTTTCCAAATTGATCAAATACATTAAAACAGCAACAGAATGCATAACTTTAGCTGCAAGAATTTTTTCAACTAATTAATTATTGGCTAATTAATAATTACATTAAAATACATCTCTCTAAATGAAGAGTTCTATGTAAAGATTACAGTAATTTTATTATAAACCCATGAAATACCAGTTCTTTGAGTTTGAAAACACTGCAAAAATTTTCGAAAGAACTTAAAATCGAGGAATGATTAGATTACCTGTGTGATTGCGTTCTCAGCGAGATAAACAACGCTTCCAAAATATGAAGATTATTACCATTGTCCAATAAATTATCTTCTTGAATTATTTTCAAAAATTTCTCCGCTATTTTACCATCACCTATGCCATACATTTCCTATAATAATGTTTAAAATGTTAAATTAGCAAATTTAAAATTTGTTCATAAAATAATGATGAAGAGATCTTATTTTGAATTTGAATTATATATTATTTCAAAAATAGAAATACTCTCTCATATACTTCAGTTATTTCAAGTATGATAATGTAATTATTATTTGCTATTAATAATAAATAATTTTTGTCAGTTATTATTATTCCTCTTATCAATCAATACATTTTACTGAAGAACTTAAGTGTAACTTACTCGTATAGCACTTTGTTCTTTAAGCATTAAAAATTTCTTTTCAATTGGTTGATCAAGTAATAACTTCTGATTTTCGGGTGATAAATCCAACTCCGCCTAAACAAGCAATAGTTTGTTAATTTAAAAATAACACATTAACGTGAAAAAAAAATAAATTGAAAAATAAATTGAGAATAACATAGTTCATATAATTGATTTCTTGAATTTTTCAAATAATCATTATTAAGGAAAAAATCTTGTAACTAAAAACGGATTTTATAACTTAAACAAACAAAATCAACTATCATAAATTAAGAATGATAAAATTTGGGATTTTCTGAACATCATACTGCTTTTTAATTTCTTTATTTAATAAGAAAAACACCAGAAGTCTCGGGAATGCAATATCCAATTCATGCTTATCAAGACCAGCTGCGTCCAATGTAAAAACCAAACGATGAAATGGATCCGGTTTGAAGATATATTTCTCAATGTGAACTTTCTCTTCACCTGCATCATCCGGTGTGATCCGATTAAAACAACATAGCACCCTATCTACCGCATTTATCATCCCTGCAAATGAAGTATTTTAATGAAAAAAGCAAATATTTATGTGATAAACTGGAATTATGCAAAATCGATTGATTCAAATACAACTAACGATTATTGAATAATAAGTATGTGTAACATAAAAAAGATTAATGAATTGATAAAAATTTTGGATGAGCTAAACAAAGAAAATTTTTTTTTTGGAAGAGTTAAGCAGAGAAAAATTTGTCGGATGATTTAAAATCTAAAATTAATATAGTCAGCAAAAAACAGTTGACATTAATAAGATTGTTTTAATACTTAACTTGCTCAAAAATTTTTAACGTTTGAAAGTTTTTAACAAAGTAATTTAATGCCAACTTTTTTGAGTTCGTATAAAATTGAAAATAATAAATGATTTGTTTTATGATCGGTATAGAGAGAAATAATTTTGATAGCTAATTTATATACAACAAGAAAAGTTATGATAAATGGTAAGAGAATAACTGTTAGTGATAATGCGCGATAAAAAGCAGAAATAATCACGGAGAGTAAATGATTATCAGTGATAAGAAGTAATGGCAAACAGTGATGTTCAGTGGTGGTATAAATAGTGAATTTGGAGCTGCATTTACTCAATTTCTTATGTCCTTTTGTGAAAGTGTTGACATTTTCCATTTCAAATTCGTTGAATAAATTTGACATTTTAATGCTTTAACTAACAATTAAAAGTTATTGAGGCCCTTTTCTTTCAAAATATTAGAGGAAAAAAAATTTTTGATAAAAAATTAGAAAAATAAAAAGAAAAAAGGTGAAAATTGAAGGAGAAAAAAGACATCTGATTAATGGAACAAAAAAGAAATGAAAAAGTTATTATTATCAAAATCTTTAAATCTTAGTGAAGAAAATTTGTTATTTTGCTATGATAAACATTACTTTCTCTTAATAATTTCAGGTAAAAATTATTACATAAGAATTACCAAAATTGATTAGGTAAATCATTAACGCAATATTTATTTATTTATTATCAGTGGTTGAATAAATAACTAACTCAGTTATTTGTTAGCAAATTTTTGGAAATTTGTTGCTGAATTTCATTCTTACTGTTGTAAATGGATAATTAATTTTTTAAATGTCCTTTTTCTGCATAGAATAAACGATTATTTATATTACGTCAATTTTCAAAGGATGAAATAGTTGACCTATTTGATATATCAACCATTCCTTCAACCGATCACTTAATAATGAATGATATGTCAAAGTGAAGTCAGATAAATCATTATATATAAGTAACAATTTTGCATAATTTTGTTTATGATAATAAAACGGCAAGATGATAGAGAGAAATTTCAGTTAAATAATATGAAATCAACTTAAATAGACAAACAAAATTTAGCTTTACAAAATGAATAACAAATAAACTAATTCAATAAAATAAGTATATTATTGTAAATTCAGTATTTCAGATTTATTATGTAATTCTCATAAGTTCCATTATATGTGCTATGATTTTGTTATTTCATTAAAAATTTGAAATAAAATATCAGTAAATAATTTTTGAAACCAAAATGTAATGTTACATTTTGAAATATTTGATTATCTACTCGAATATATTGTTATGTAAATAAATCGTAATAATAGCAAAACAAGAATAAAATCAGTTTCACCTATTTAAAATAAATTTATACAACATAAATCATTGTTAATCAACCAATTTCTGATATCATTTTCATTGGTATTGTTAAAGTAAAATATTCTTCTTCTCATATTAATAGATTAATTAAATTAAGTAAGAGCGAATGATTTATTAAAATCATAACAAAAGCAATAATTAAAAGACTTTTCAACACATATTTGAGTCAAAACATTTAAAGAAATCATTCAAATATCAATAAATCATTTGTGTTTTTTAAATTTTAAAAGCAACAATGAACTTGAAATTATAAATTTTGATTTGTATGCATGTAAGACTGAATTATGAGAAATATGAATATATTTAGTATGTAAACAAATTGCAACAATAGCAAGCAAAATGGAAATCGGTTTTGGTCCATTTCGGATAAGTTTGTATAACACAAATTATTTGATGAGATGATACTTTTGTGGCAATTTAAACTTTCTATTGTTACAAATTTTGTAGAATTTTATAGAAAAATCTTACAAAATGATATTTTATAGGAAGTAATAATTTCAACAATAACTGTGAACAATCAGCAATATAAATTCGACAACTAATAATTAAAAAATAAATAGCAAAAACGGTTTTTCATTATTAATTAGCAAATTTTTGCATAGCTCAGAAAATGACAAAATATTCTTTCACACCATTTTCACAAAATATCCTTCATACTAATTTAATACTACCAATTTTAAAACCAGTAAATTGTAAATGAGTGAAAGAATTTAGTTTCTTCCGTTTTCAAACCTTTAATCATTTAAAATATGGATTTAAATCTTCCTTATAGGTTTTATCTTGAACGAATTTAACCTTCTTCAATGATGCATCATAACTTATATTTAATCAAAATTAACGGAACGGATTTATAACAAGTTCGATCGGCTTTCCTCCAACCGAATTATGTCCAACCAATTCATTCACTCAGCCAATTGAAGCAATTTTAGTGAAATCTAAACAATTTTGTTTTTCGATTCATTAAATATTCTGGAGTTAGCAGCTAAAAATCAAATCTAACTTGATTATTTGAAAATTAATAAATCGGTTATCACTACTGATATCAGTGTCTATTGTGAGGATTATAGTGAATCTATTTCAATCTTTGTATAATTAAACTTACCCTTGTGTTGCAATTTTTTAAAATAAAACGAAAGAAAAGCGATTTTACTTGCAAATGCTCACATTAATATCCTTCTACTGATGCTCAAAATAAATAAATACAAAATATATTAACAGCCAATAAACGGTGAAAATGAATTTAGTAAAATTAATATGCTAAAAAAGGAAGAAATTTTTTCTCGTCCCAATTCATATGATGTGAAGAAAAAGCGATATTATGCAAATATGCGTGGACTATAAAACGATGAAATCACAAATATGCTTCACTTTTTTGTCTAAAAAATTGTAAAATATTGAAAAAAGTTAGTGACAATGAAATATTATTGCAACATTTTTGTTCATTTATTAATGAAAAAAGAAAGGAAAGGCGAAATTCATTGATAAAATAAACGAATGATTTATGATATGAAGAAAATAAAATTCAGGTTAACACAAATACAAATCATTTCTTATATTACTTAATATATCAAACAAAAAAAGCATCGAAATTTAAGAAAAAAAATATTTTTTTGGTGCTGAAAAGAAAAATGAGAAAATTTATCATTTACATAAAATTATCATCTATTTTTTCGTTTTTTTAATGGGTACAAAAATTAAAATTTTAGGAATAAAAGCGAAAAGGAAAAGAACGAATTAATAAAAATTGGATGATCCGAGCTGATGAAAAATTTAATTAATTTATATTCATTTCAACTTTCTCATTTTCATTTTTTCAATTTTTCTCTTTATTTTTGCATAAGTTTCACCTTTTTCTATTTATTCACTCTCTGTCGTTTGCAGTTGTTTAAATTAGACTTATGCGAGAAAAAAATTTGAATTAAAATCGAATATGAAACCGAATATACCTTACTTCATTTGCAAACATTTTCAATGATAACTTTTAATATCTGTATGCAGGAAAAGTGTGCACGACAGCGACAAATATAAATAATATAATGATACAAATGGAATTAAAGCTAGTAAAAATGATTGATGAAAAAGGATGCTTGTTAAGTTTGTTGAAACACACACATTAACTGAGTACAGTTAAGCAGTAAAGTTTTCTTTTAAAAAAGCGTTCAGAAAACATAGATGAAAAATACTAAAATTAAAAGTTTACAACTATAAATTAAAGCAAAAAAGTAAAGTGAAATGAAACGAAGAGGTAAAGTAAGATATATCCTACCAAATATTATTTTGAAATGCAATAAAAAACCATTTTCCTTTTGTTACATTTATGCAAATGCACGAATAGATCATTGATATGTTCACGTATTTTTTAAGGCACATAACTCTGTTGGGGGTACAAATGGGAGCAGAAGTGAAATTTAAATGGTAAAGAAAAAAGGATTGACAAAAGGCAAATAAATAAACAAATTTAGGTTGAACTGGGTTACCTAACCATCCTTTTCTTTCTTTCTTCCTCTCTTCTTTTCCACAAACTTTTATTATTCAGGCAATTATAAAGCTCTCTTTTAAAAAATTCTTTTTTTTTCATTTTAAAGATGCAAAAAAAATTAGAGCCACAGAAATTAGCTAGTCATTGCTAGTAAAAGAAACAATTCAATTAGTTTACCTTTTCAGTTCACCTTTTCACTCTTATTGATAACATGGTTGAGGGAAAAGATTTTTGGCAAAAATTAGAAAATCGACATGGACCATTAGACTAGTTTTTGAGACTATTCAAGTCTGAAATCGATATTTCCATTGTTAATTATAACGCTATGTAAAATGCTGAAATGATTAAATGAAGTTTTTTCATTTTTAAAAATTCGGTCATCGATTGCATTCATAAACATTTCTTTCAGATAAGAGCTTAAATTATGCTGTTAAATTAATTCCATTTTATCGACTTTTTAACATTCATGTTAATTTCATGTTCATTGCCCGACAACTGATAATATTATATCAAATTATTTCAACTTTTAATAACACAATTTTTATTCTTCAAAACTATCCATTTTTTACCGTTTTTATGTTTTGAACGCGTCCAACTAATTATATTTTTTTCGAATGTGACAAATTGTGAATTGATTTTTTGAGAGGCTTATATTGATTGATATGTGACAAATATTTGAACAAATCTTTCTCATCCGATACCATTTATAAAAGTGTGAAAAAGACGGACAGTTATAGATGAAAGGATGAGAAAACCTGCTGCATATTGCTCTCACATTAATAGATAGAGTGATAATAATTCATACCAGCCATAAATTAAACCCAATGAAATTCATATTTATCACTCTTTTCGCTGATAATAATATTGTTAC